GGTGTTATGGGAGTTGTGGAAGCACCGTAATGGGTGCATGTACGGCCGAGACACACCCAGCGTTGCACGGGTGATGCATGGGGTGGCGAAGGGGGTGGCGGAATGCCTGTTTAGGCGTTGGCCCATGCAGCATATCCTGCCCTCTAACTGGAGGACTATTGTGGCATACTTGGAGGCACATGTGCCGAGGCGTGTTATTAGGACGGTCAGGTGGTCTCCCCCGGCTGCCGGGGCGTTGAAGATCAATCTTTCTCGATCTTCGACGGCTGGGGGGGCTGCGGCCGTGGTGCGCAACTAGGAGGGTGGCTTCTGCTACAGGGTTGCGTGGTCTGGCCACGGGGACTACGCCCGGGGAATGCTCCGGGTCCTTTTCTCTTGCTTGGAATGGTGCCTGGCTGGGGGAACTACTTGGATTGATATAGAGTCCACTTGGGCGGAGTTGGCTAGCTACGTTGATATCTCTGTTCGTCCGCCGTGGATTCTAGATGATGCGGTGACCAGACTCCGGTTTCTGTGTTCCTGTGGTGTGGTCACTGCTTGTGTGTGCCCGTCCAGGGCCAATATGCCTGCACAGGCGCTAGCTAACTGGGCGGTGGATAAGCCGGGGGAGGCCATCTTTCGGAGCCTCAATGATCTGCCACGCAGGGTCCGTGCTTTACTGATACATGATGATGTGCCCTATGTGTTTTTTGATATTGATGATCCCCCGTGATTGTACTTGTACTTTGATTAGTTGGAAATTTGGAAAAAAGAAAAAACAGAAAAAAGAAAGAAGAAAAGAAAAAAGGAAAAAAGAAAACGGAAAGAGATGGAAAAAGAAAAGAAATGGCTGAGGGATAGAAAAGAATCGAGTGGAAAGAATGAGTGAAAGAAAAGAATAGAGTGAAAAGAAATTGGAGTGACAAAAAGGAGAGTTGGGAGGAAAAGAAAGAGTGGAAGAGAAGTAAAAACAGTGAGTGGTGAGGTTCGCTGGAGACCGGGAAGCCTTGCTTTGCAGGGCTGAGTCTCAACGTAAGGTGCTGGCGGTATAACAGGGCACCCTAGTCCGGGCTGAACGGTGCGCCGGGCAGGATTGTCAAATCCGTTGACCTGGTCAGGCTTGCTGCTGGCCAATAATAGCTGGGTTCCTTCTGGACTCCGGGGGGACGGGCTATTATTTGGGGGGTTGCTTTTTGTTCGCGTCAGCCTGTTATAAACTTGAACACTCACCCGAGATAGACGTGATAGTTGGGTCATGGGAACAGGATGCTTGTTTGTTCTATCTTGTTTTTATTTTGCAGGTGCTGTTTCTTTGTCATCGGAGGCGTGAACTGGTCTTGGGCTCATTTTGGTTCCGCCTTTGTAGGCATCTTTGGAAAAGACCAGGTCTCAACGCCGATGCAAGCGGTAAAAAAATGCATCGTAGCCCGGGCTGAACGGTGGCCGGGTAGGTGTTTCTCAAATCCGTTGGCGGTAGTCCAGGCTTGCTGCTGGCCCATAGTAGCTAATCCCGTTAGGGTTGGTTCTGGTTCGTGCTGGTGCTGATCGGGAGTTCTGCTATTGGCTGGCTTGTGCTGCGTTGATGATTTTGCTGGCCGGGATCTACCTTGTACTTTTGCCTTACGCCTGCGTGCCATTACTTGACTGAGGCCTGCGTGCCATTGTTAGCTGTATATGATTTGTCCTGCGTGCTATTATTATCTCTGCATTATCTGTTGTATGGCATGTTCTACAGGGCAGTCAATAGCGCTCCGGGAGGTGTTACAATTGTGGTGCAGCCCGGTTAGGCGGCATTATGGTGTGTAGCCGCTGTAGTGCAACTGGCTGGGAGGGGCCACGTGTGTAACACGCGAGGCATCTATCCTTGCTACTTGAGCCTTCGGAGTACATGATTGGAGCAGCACCTCAGTCTACTTGAGTTGGGTTATATTCGCATTCCTATTTCATCGGGCGTTTATTTTGTGACTTTCCTTTCATCATAGTCTTTGGTCTAGTGTTAGTCATCTAGCATGGGACTTGGGGCATGTATGGTAGCCTCGTTATGTAATCTCGTTTTTATTTTCTAGCTTAGTGTTAGTTAGTGGGTTTTGGTCGTCTGTGGCCTAACCCCTTGGACTTTGTATTGGCTTCGGCCTTTTATTAATAAAGCATGATTTACTTAAAAAAAAAAAAAAAAAAAAAAAAAAAGAGGCATGGCCAACATGACTAATAGATAAACCCATACCGTCACCGACACGTAAAGTGTCATTACCAGTGTACTTCTCCGATGTAGAAAGGGCAGCGATGTTCGGAGTTGCATGATTTGTGGCTCCAGTGTCCGGAACCCAAGTGTGAGAATTTGACGAGGTTTTAGCAACTAAACCATTCTGAAACACCAAATTAGCCTGAGAACCCGGAGCCCCTGAATATCGCCGAAAACAGTTGACTCCCGTGTGACTGAAACTTTTGCAAATTTGACACGGATCATTATAGCGCCAAAAACAATTGGCTCCCGCGGGACCAAAATGTTTACAAATTTGACACGGATCATCATAGCGCCAAAAACAATTGGCTCCCGTGTGACCAAAACGTTTACAAATTTGACACGGATCATCATAGAGCCAAAAACAATTGACTCCTGTGTGGCCGAAACCTTTACACATTTGACACGGATCATCGAAGCCACGTTGCTGACCTCCACGGTAATTAAGGTTGCCATCGCAGCTCTGCATCTTCTTGATTTTATGAATCACAAAACCCTAGCTAACTGATACCAGATGAGAACTGGTTGTATTATATTTTCTGAACTAGATTACAATGAGATCAGATGATGTGAATATATAGAAAGAGAGAGTCACAGTGTAACAATGATAAGAAGTAGAGAGTCACAGTGTGACAAGGATAAGAAGTTCTAAACAGACTCATATACATAGAGTCCTAATAAGAAGCCTACTCAAAAGGTTTCTTCCGTTGCGTACTAAATTTCAGTACGTAACATTGGTGCTTTCATTGATTCTATTGATGAGGTTTCTCCAATCCGTATTCGGGTTACGATAGCTCCAAAAGAAAACAGTATAGCTATTCGAGTTACGATAACTCCAAAAGAAAACAGTATAGCGAAAGAAAATGAAGAACTCTTCAATATAAATGATTTCTGCATGCCTTTAATATTACATACAATACCCTATATATACTATCTCACTTCCTAAAATAATGTAATTATAATAATGGAATGACTAATTATTCTCCTAATTATCAATTAAATATAAATGCTAATTATTCTCCTAATTACATAAATAAGGTAATATACATTATTCTTGCTACAGGATCATTGCCAATCAATGGCGTATCACTCCTTGCCCCTTCGAAAATCACCTTGTCCTCAAGGTGGAAGTATAAGTGGTTCGTCTCTTGAGTTCTACCCAACACAAATATTCCGCCAAAATTTTTGGTTGAAAAATGTTAGGAAGATTGTACATCAGGTACAAGGCTCGATCGAACTAATACCATTGCAATATATAGACAAATGAGAATTCCTCATTGTGAAGCCGGGTAACAAAATCCATTGTCTCTTGCCGTGTGTTCTCTTGGATATAAATTGAGTTTTTCATGAGGTAGATTTCTTCTATAGGATAAACTAGTGATACATAAATCTTTTTTGGCGCACTTTCATCCTCCTTATTAGAACTCAAACTTGTACAATTCTTCATAACCGTCATTGGTTCTTCAACTGTCAATGGGATATTAGGAGGGGGTGGTGGTGATATCAATGGTGGAGGCCTGTCGAAGATTTGAAAATTTTTGTCCATGCTTAACTCCGTGAGATCACGAACACTTTTATCATCAACCACATTCATTGACACCTCAAATTGTAGTTGATCTTTTGGCACTGTTTCATTGAGGATATCTACATGCTTTCTTGGGCCATTTAGTTGATGTTGATCTTTTTCCAATAATTGATGAAGATTGTTGTGAGACGAATAATTGCTAGTGCAATGGTTAATCTCCTCAATTGATACAATCAAACTTTGCAATGTTTGATTAATGGTTTGGAGTTGGAGATTCAAATTATTGGTGTGAATAATTTGATTATGGACGAAAACTGAGAGATTTGTTACTAACCGATTTGTCATGACAGTATGTAAAAATCAATAAGTTGATTTCAAGAATTGTGATGAAAGAAAAAAAAAAGATAATGATAACGAAAGGATACGAATAAGGAAAAATTTTGTGGTTTTTTTTTTTGAGAACTTTTTTTTATATGTGAATAAAAAAGAAAGGATCAAACAATGGAAGAAATGTAAATACTTATTGCTCTTTTATGCTTGTTTTGTTTTGTTTTGTTTTTTGTTTTTTGTTTTTTGTTTTTTGTTTTTTTTTTTGTTTTTTTTCTAAGGGATGCTATCAAAAATGAAATAAAAACAAAAAATAAAATAAAATAATAAAAAGATAGGAGATACTCTCACCAATAGAATCAATGAAAGCACCAATGTTACGTACTGAAATTTAGTACGCAACGGAAGAAACCTTTCGAGTAGGCTTCTGGCTCCAATCCGTATTCGAGTTACGATAACTTGAAAAGAAAACAGTATAGCTATTCGAGTTACGATAACTCCAAAAAAAAACAGTATAGCGAAAGAAAATGAAGAACTCTTCAATATAAATGATTTCTGCATGCCTTTAATATTACATACAATACCCTATATATACTATCTCACTTCCTAAAATAATGTAATTATAATAATGGAAGGACTAATTATTCTCCTAATTACCAATTACATATAAATGCTAATTATTCTCCTAATTACATACATATAGTTGGTCTTGGGGAGTCCGACTTTTATGAGAGAGAATCGGACTCTCTAGAGTCGGTTTTCCTGCTTATGTATCCACAATCTATCTTCCAAAAAGGCTGAACCCCAACCCTAAGGGCCCCCCACACCTCGGCCCGACAGAGCATTTGGGAGGATGATGTATCCACAATCCATACACGACATTTTGGTATCCATTTTTTTGAAGCACTATTCGTGTTTATGATTCAAATATCAGTAACAATGAGTTTGAAGGTTCTTTAAATTCCGGTTTCAGAAATGCAAAGGCCTTGGCGCAATTGTTTCTAGGTGATAACAAACTCTACGGTGATTTGCCGCCGGAAATTTCTGGAGCTTGGGCCTTGGTTTCAATCGACCTGAGCAACAATCAATTCTCAGGTGAAATTCCGGCGACTATTGGAGATCTTAAAAAGCTCGATAACCTTCATTTATCAAACAACAACTTCTCCGGTTCAATTCCAGATTCATTAGGCTCTTGCGTCTCCCTCAGCTACATAAACATAGCTCAGAATTCTCTCACCGGAAAAATCCCGGTGAATTCTCTTTTCGTCGAGGCGTATAATGACAGCTTCATGGGAAACAACGGTCTTTGCAGTGAAATCCTCATTTCAATAGCTTGTTTCCTCTACTTAAAGAAGAAGAGTGCTGAGAACGAATATCGCGAGCGGTCCTTGAAGGAAGACTCTTGGAAAATGAAATCTTTCCACTTACTGAGCTTCACGGAAGACGAAATCCTCGACGGGATCAAGCAAGAGAATCTGATCGGAAAAGGCGGCTCCGGCAGCGTGTACAGAGTGGTCCTCAGAACCGGCAAAGAATTGGAGGTGAAACATATCTGGAACTCCGGCGCCGCTGACGACAGCTACTTTACAGTCTACTGAATATTTTCTTCACCGTTTAAGGAATGTACATATACGCTGGGTATTAAGAAAAAGACTAAAGTCAAGAAATGAGTAAATTACCCATGACAAATTGGAGCTCTCGTCAGGTTATTGACGGACTACAGTCCAAGAGACTAAATCAACTAAAAACAGTTATTTTCGAAGACCAAATCAATGAATAAGCAATTGAGAGACTATATTGACATTTTACTAATAATTGAGGGACCAAATCGTTGATTTCCCTTAATAAAAACAATAAGTTGTATAGGAGATGATGGGTTTAGAAATGTGCAACTTCTGTGCACTTTCTCGACTATTATGAGGTGTTTGGTAGGATAGAATTGCAATTCCTTCCAATCATGGAATTGCAATTCCTAGGGTCCCCTAGGAATTGTGTGGAATTGTAATTCTATGATAAATTACAATTTTATCCTTATTATTATTATTATTATTATTATTATTATTATTATTATTATTATTATTATTATTATTATGACATTTTAGTCTTTATTTACTTTTCTTTTTCAATTTTCAATCATTCTATTCCTTTAAATTCCACTTTATTCTTTTCTTTTCCTACGGAATTACTATTCATCCCCCCCCCCCCCTTAATTCCCCCTTTTCAACCAAACGTCCTGTTAATCTTGAAATAGGAGTGAGACTTACTTAGTCCACACATTTGAGTAGTAACGGATATAGGTTTAAAAGTGTGCAACTTTTATGCACTTTCTCGACTATTAATCCTAAAATAGGAGTGGGGTTTACTAAAGACTTTTCTTCGAGAAAATGAGAGCTACAGTTCTTGCATTCTAAAGAAAAAGAGAGCCCCCACCCCCAATTGAGCTTGAGGTACATAATCCCAACAAACTTATAATATGATTAATCAGTTCACAAATTTGCAATACATAGAAAGTAACTTTGACGCATTTACATGTCATTTCATTACCTACGAACTTCTATTTCAATAACACCTACCTACTTACCCCTTGCCTAATATGAATCAAAATCATGCTATTATGGTATAAATATTATAACTAGCATAGCACCCGTGCAATGAATGAATAGTAACATATATTCAATAATTATATTGTTTATCAAATTTAAATAATGTAAATAAATAAATAAATATTCAAAATATTGTATAATTGATAAGGGCGATTTTCATGCATCCATCAAGTATCAAATTACAGTACAGTGTTAAGATATCGTTCCACTAGAGATGGCTCTTGTAATATTAGGAATTGATGCAAAGTGGAGTTAAGCACAAGCTAAAACTACCATTTTAGAAGCTAGGCCTATCGTTAACGAGATGGTTTGATACGAACAAGCTAATAACAAATAAGACAATTAAAACAAAGGACCGGGACTTGGTTTATACAAGTTGAGATGCCAAATAATACACTAAGATTAGAGAATTAAACAAGGCATAGGATAAGTGAGATGCACAAAAGTGTCCAAATACCACTCCCATAGCTATTTGGACTTGCAACCTATATCCTTAAACTCCACTCTCGTGGCAATTCAATCCAAGGTTGCCCAAGCAAGAACACAAGGCATAAATTCTCCTTAATACTCGAAATACTCTCGTATTGGCATTAAGTGTATGAATGTGTGGCTATTGTACAAGCTCTACTCTCGTAGCAACAAACACACTCCAAATCAAGCATATAATTGGGATCCCACAATTATACACAATTTCATAACAATCTAAATTAACACAACTAACCCTAGAACACCCAAATAATCCCCTTATGCAATACAACTCAAATAGGAATCAATAGCAAGAAATCAAACCAAATCCTAGTCCCAAAGCACTTAGCTACTCATAATATAACAATAGATACACAATATTAAAAGAGTAATTGAAAGCATAGATGAAAAGTAAAGAGAAAAGATAATAAGAAAAACTTATCTATTGAAACTTTGAAATCCAAGATTTGCAATGTTCTTGAGCATGGAAATGGAAAGGAACCACAAATCTACACTAATCTAAGCTATTCTAAACTAACCCTAACTAGAGAAATGAAAGGGAAATGAAAGACGTGTTTTTGGGGTAAAAAATCCACTTTTAAATGAGAAAAAACGGGCTGGTATGTGTTACAGAGGGCTGGCCATGGGTGTGGCTTCACCCGTGGCCAGAAATGCAGTTTACACTGCCTAGTAGCCACGGGTGTAGCCACGGGCGTGGCCACAAGGCAGTGTGCACTACCTGTGCACTGAGACCATCTTCTAGGTACTTTTTCCCCATCGAAACTTTTGAATTAGCCTTTGGTTCTTGAATCAAAGTTGTAGCCCTTCAAGATGGATTTCCCATGGCACAAGAATCACTTGATTTGGACACTCCTACACTAAGATATGACCAAAATACCGAGCAGTGGACGATTTGTGCGGAAATTTCAACTTCCTGCTCTTTTGCTCCACTTTTGTCTTTGTTTGTCCAAATGACCAAGACCACTAAATACACATTAATTTGGCTCTCTAAAAGGTGTTTCCTCCATCTTTATAGCTTCTCATTGGCTCCCATTGACTCTACATGCATTCAAAATACCCCAAAAATCATTCAATTCATCTAAATAATCAAGAATTACACATAAACGCACAAATGAATCAAATGAGGAGACTTTGGGCATAATTGTAACAAATAACAAGGAAAATAAGCTTAAATACAAGGTGAAAACATTAACATTTAGAATTTTATCAACTCCCCCACACTTAAACCTTTGCTTGTCCTCAAGCAAAAACAAGAACTAAATCACCAATATAGCACTGAAGTTGGTCATACTCCCACTTTGCACAACTTATCAAACCACAATCCAACTTGACACAACACAACTTGTTTCAAGAATCATTATCTTAGCAATCCACACAAGTTTCATTCTCAAACCAATAACCAAGCACAAAAAATTATTATAGAACGTGAGAATCAAATGTGCGCAAATACTAAGTTGAGATTATGCAAAACTTGGCTTTGAATGAGATTCCATAGGCTTGCCTTCATACTCCCACTAGTTCAACTCTAGGATTGAATGCTAAGATCAAGTAGGACATTTATTAGGCTTGTAATGGGGCTAATGGTGAATGGTTGACAAAGAAGGGGTAAGGAAATCAAACATAAGAGAGAACTTCACACTTATTCACAATTGAGATTGGAAGAGATATGGCATCAAAGAACTAAAGAGCAACTAATAACCAAACACAAAACAACACTCTAAAGTAGTGGAGGTTGAGAACAATTTTCAAAGCAAACTAACAAACTTTTATTGAACTTCTTCTTTTTCATTTCTTCATCTCTTTTCAGCATTTTCATGACTTTATTTTTTCAATTTTCTCATCATTTTTTTTTTAAATCAACAAAGAAACTTTTTCAATAAATCAAGACCATCACACTTAGATAACATTATAGAGAGTGTATGTTGCTAACAAAACAAGTTCCAAAAAGAAAAAGAATCACTTCCAAGAAAAAGAACAAGTGCACTATTCTCTCAAGGGTGGAGGGAAACATTTTGGCTAAGGTTTAAGGGTTAAATGAAAAGGGTTAACACAAGAAAAACGAACAAAAAGGGGATTAAATGCTTAGCACTTAATTGAACAAACATAAAAGGCTCAACGGGGACAACTAGGGGTAAACATATGTGTACAATGGTAAGCTTAAAGGCTTGGGCTAAACAAAAAGGGCTTAAATCATTTCAAAACATGCAAATCTTAGATTTCACTTGGAGAGTAATGAGGCAAGTTCTAGCAAAACAACCATTACCGGAATCTCACATAAGCCTTCACTAGCAATGCACAATACACAAGATCAAGAATTTATTCAATTACTAAGTGGTTAACAAGACTATTGACAAGAAAATAGATCAATCATGTGTTACACCTTGACTCATCAATCACAAGTTGCATTGTAACAAGTTCCACCAAGTCAAACCACAAACCAACAAAGGGGAGTAATCACAACTACAAGAGGCAACAATGTGAAATCCTAAATGATTTGAGAAAAAAGGGAAATTTCAACCACTACTATTAGAGAAAGCTAAATGCAAGGAGAAACAAACTAAAGTAAACTAAATGCTAAAATGAACAATTTTCTTCCTAGACTCAAGAGCAAGGATAAGCAAAAATAAAGCCCAAAGTGAACCACTCCCCCATACTTAGACAAAAACATCATCCCCGATGTTAGAGAAGTTAGAAACAATAACCAAAATGACAAGGAAAGCAAGACCATGACACAAAAGTATTCACAAACATGACAAAAATCCATCCTTCTAGCATGATCAATTCCAAAAATAGTCCAAATGCAAAAATAAAGAGTGATATGAACCTAATCCAAGATTCAAATAAGATGGAGTATTGTCCCAAGAGTGCTCTCAAAGTAAAGATAGAGATGGATCAAAATACCTTAAACCTCACGAGAAACCCTTTGTCTCGAATCCTCAAAGACTTGGAAGAATCCCATGTAGCTTCAAGTACCTTGATGTTGCAATCTTCAATCAACTAGAGTCGGATCTAGTTTCTTTCGATTCAAGAACGAGTCCACGAACCTAAATCTAAGGTTGAAGAAAGTAAGATTGATTCGAGTCCACGAATCAATTTGCTAGTCGAGTCCACGACTAGCCACTAATTGAGTCCACAATTAGCCATAAGGTTTCTTACACAAGTGTAAAGAAAAACTTAAGAATTTTATTGAATTAAAGCCTGTTTCAAACTGATATGGATGTGCCCTATTTATAGGTATAGGGCAGCATTGTAATCTAAATACAATGGGAAAAAGAGTCCTAAACCTAATCTAGAAAACAAGTAAATAGAGTTTTATTTAGACAAGGATTTAAGGAATCCTTTCTAAATACAACTAGTGTTTTCTCTTTTATGCCAAACAATTTAAATTAATGATGACCAAAAATAATAGGGCTGATTTGGGCCTAATTTAATCACCAAAATCAGCACTTAAACAATTATAAAAAGCCTTGAAATCTTCTTCATCTTTTGCAAATGGGCTTGACTTGGAT